GCTCAAGTATTTCATAAATTCTGGATATAAGTCCCTTATCTGATATGTTATTACCGAATACTTTTTCCCAGTCAGTGGCCTCCCTTTTTACCCTACTGGAGAAGTTTTTGGATGTGCATAGGGAATTGAGTCTTAGAAGATGCCATTCATCTACGTTATCTTCTCCTGGTTGTAGGTGTAACCACTTCTAAGTCATGCCACATCTAATTAAGGTCAAAGGTTTTATTTCATGCTCAGTCATATTTTGAGTCCTTCCTACCTGGAGGCTTATCTTTCCAGAGTTCTGTCAGACAGTGAGTGTACTGCAGTTGTCTGTGACGTTTCACTGGCTACTTTTACTACACAGACCCCAAGGCCTTTCTTCACAGTCTAAGTTTGGAAGTGATATGTCTGTCCATTTTGCTGGTATTTGGATCACTGGTGGCGCAGATCACTGGACTTGGAAATACAGCAAACTGGCAGGTGATAAAAGAGAAGTCAAAACCAGAAAAACCTAAGCTGTTGCCATGGAGGTGATTCTGACTCTTGGTGATCCTGCAGGCTGCAGTCAATCCCTGCCCTGGAGGGTTTTCATGACTGTAATCTTTACAAAAACAGAGCCCCAGGCCTTTGTTCCTTTGTGTCCCTAGATGTGTTCTAACCACCACCGTATAGATGAGCATCTGAGTATAAACTCTCTGCCATATCCAGGTTTATTAAAATGTGTGGCCAAGCAAGAGATTCTGCACCTTAAACCCGCACGTGTAAGTGGGTTTTGTGCTCCTCCGAGGAGGGCTTGTCTGCCATCCTTGCTCCCAGCTCACTCCAGGAAGACCCACAGTTTCCCTGACAGTGAACTCTGCTCCCTGTCTGCTCAGCACCATTGACTTTCCTGGGGATAGTGCTTGTTATCTGCCATCTGTGTAGGGATTGCTTTTGGAGCAGAAATGTGGCTAACTGGTGTGTTGGGTATTTCAATTGGCAGTGGTAAATATGTATACGATTTGACTTAGCAGATTAACATTCTAATTCCAATTTGATCATACCTACATGTTTTGTTTCCTGACACTGAATACAACCTCCATGTTGTATCATCACCCTTCCTACTGTTTCTGTGATTCTTGTTTGCATTCATCTTTCTTTTCTCTCTCTTCTTATCTTCTATATTTTATCCTTGAACAAATGCCGCCCTTATGTTTCAAGTACCAGCAGTGTCTCTCATGGTAGAAAGCTTCATAGGTGCTTCCAGACTGAGATTATGAAGAAAGGCCTGATCTGTTTCAAAAAATTAGCCAGTGAAAACCTTATAGATCAAAGCAGTGTCCTTTGTCTGTGAAAGAGGAGCCTTTACCCCAGGTAGATGGCCACTCAAAATATGACTGAGAAAGAGCTGCCTCTTCAATGTCGATATTAACACAAGGTAAGGAAGGCATAAAGCCTCCAGGACTATGCTGAATGATGTAGTATGACTCAGATTCCAAGTGCTGAGGATCTCTGTGGTGCTAGAGTTCACATGTGGATGTGTTTTCAGCACATACAGATAACTCATGTTGAACTGCCATCTGCCAAACCTATGCATAATCAAACGTGTAGTCCCTTGGCTGGATCTGTTTGTCTTGTCAGTTTGCCTATATACTCACTTGTAGGTAAATGTTTATTGTTCTTAATGTAGGGTTGGGTAGGTAATGGCCTAATGTTGTCTAAAACTTTCACAGCATTCTGTGTCGTCTTGCCTTTTTAAAATACGGGATTCCCAAGATATTTGTCCTTTTGTGTCCTACTTCACTCAGTATAATGTCTTTCAGGTTCATCAGTGTTATACAGTATTTTGAGATTTCTTTAATGCTACGTGGTATTCCATTTTATGTCTGTACCATACTGTTTGTCCATCCATTCATCTATTGATGAGCACTTAGGTTATTTCCATGTCTTTTCTCATAAAGCTCCTATGAAAACAAAGCACACACCTCTGACTTCTTTGGGACGTATACTTAATAGTGGGATTCCTGAATCAAACAATATTTCTAACTTTGTAAGGAGGCACCATGCTGTTTTCCACAGCAGTTATCACCCTTTTACAGCCCTGCTATAAAGAGAGTTATGATTCAGTCCATAAGGCAGTTCTAATATGAACTCATAAGTGGGGTGTGAGCATTCCATTCTCTGCACCGCCCTTATTTGTGGTTCTCTGTCGTTTGAACTTTGCTGTTACTGCTGGTATAAAAGGTCATCTCATTCTTTTAATTTGCATCCATATAATGGCTAAAGAGCAAAAATATTTCTTCATGTTTATTGCCTGATTGAATGCCACCTTTAATGAAATATCTGTTCGTGTCATTTCTCCATTTTTAAATTGGATTGTCTTTTTGTTGTATAGATGTTGAAACTTTTATAAAGTTTAGTACTTTGATAGCGCATTGCCAAATATTTTTTACAATCTGTAGGTTCTTTTTTCACTCTGTTGATGCATATAAGAATTTAATTTCATTTTAGAGGGTCTCATTTATCTTGTTTATCCTTTACTCTTTGTGCTTTCTTTTGGTTATTACTAGTATTTTATAAAGTCCCTAACTTTGCCTCTATTATGCCTTTGATGTTCTTTATAATTTTAGGTTTTACACTTAGCTCTTAGGTCCATCTTGAGTTAGGGTTTTATGTGGTATGTTATATGAGGTGTATATTTGTTGCAAATGAATACCAGGGAATTTTTTTCTTCCCCCCAAAGCTTCATTGGTCCAGCTGAACTACCACATTGCAATACAAGATGTACTTGATGATAGGGGTGAAGGTGGCCCCAAGTTCCTCCTGTGCCTGGGAATGCTGAGATTTCATCCTTGTTGGCTAGTTTTGCTCAAAGAATTTTTTTCCAGCACCTACTGAGCCCACTGGCCTCTGAAATTAGGAGATTTCTGTCTGTGTCGGCTAGTTTTGCTCAAAGAATTTTCATTTCTTATTACATCCTATTTTGCCGTAGTATGAACTATATTCCCTCTGTCTCTTTTTTTTTTTTCTAGATTACGTTTTCTGGTTAAGAAATGGCAAGAAGTGGACCGGAAAGGAGCTCTACCACAAAGCAAAGCCGTCCGCTCAGGTGGGTCATTACGTGTGTAATTTACTCAGTTCTTTTCTAATTGTGGTAGTATTTTTGTTTACATTATGGTCATTTTTCAGTGGTTAATGGGGAAGAAATAAGACACCATAAGGAAATGTATAAATCCCATTGATGCTGTTTCTAACGAAGGCAGATGGAGTTTTGAAGAAAAATTATTTTATTTTGTGACTCAGAACTGCAAGTGTAGCTTATACACTTAAAGAACAAAAATTGTGTCAGAAGAAGATAGAAAGTGATTTTAGAACATGGAAATGCTCGATCTATCAACTCTTTAATAATTAATAAAATGGCTATTTTTAGTCTCCAAAATTAAGTGAAGTTCTTTTTCATAACACCTCGTCCCTCGGCAGCATTGCTTGCCTGGGCCCAGACGAGCCTGACAGCACTCCAGCACACGCACAGTTCTCTCATCTGAGGTGCAGTCACCTGCCAGGGTGGAGAATGGTCCCCCCTCTGCTTGGCATGTGTGCACTCATGTGAGACCTGGATATATATGCATGTAACTACCTGTGAGCAAAGGCCAGCTCTGCTACTAGAAACCTTGTTGTACAGAGCCTCTCAAGATGAGCAGTGAGCTCATGGGACACAGGATGGTTCAGTGACTAGGAGCCAGCATGGCCACACTCTGGTGGTCTTGGTTCCAGTGTCGGAATCCAGAGACCAGCACAGGGAGGTTAGAACGCTGGTTCTCAGCCTCTGTATTCCCATGTCCTCAGAACAGTAAACAAGGCATCCATGAGGCGGGTGTCTGGAACACTGTCACTCTGGAAGTCTGAGGCCATGAATGTGCACAGAGGACACTCCTGCTCAGCATCAGGGGTGCAACAGCACTAGGCCTACTGCACATGCCATCGGGGCTGTGCTTGTGGATCCCACAATGGCCTCTTAGGAAGGCGTGCAGCTGAACCATGCGTGTAGGGCCTGTGCTGACCACCACGGAGGTGGCTTTCTGCCAGTGTTCATGCCTGTTTTTATGATGACATTCTAAATGTGGTGTTTGGGTTGTATTGATTCTGCTCACAAGCCATACCTAGCATTCTTCAGGGTCTCTACCTGCTTTCTTCCTAAGCTGGGTAAAATAGCACCCTATCCCCTTTTTAAGGGCACCGTGGCAGCACAATCTGAAAGGAGTTGTTCTGCTAAGCGAAAGGCAGCATCTTTCTGGCTTTTTAAATCCACCAGTGGCTCCACAGGAACCCTCCTCCTGTGTGATTTATGGCTGAAAACTCACTAGAGAGTGAGCTGTGAATCAGTTCTGACTTGAATGTTGATGAAAGTTTTTTATCTTCATCTTTTTTGGTGCCCTCCTGATGGCCGCATATGGTTATGGGATCTTGGAATTCCCTGCAGGACTGAAATATGCCACATTTGGATAAGTATCCATTCTAAAACGTGCTTGTTTCTTTCCTGATCCCTGCACATCCTGGGAAAAGAAGCTTCACTGCCCCAGCGGCAGCCACATCCTGAAACCAGAAGGTCTCCTCCGACCCGGGAATCTTCCTCCATCCTCGTCAGGGAGCCTGCCCGAAGCAGCCGGCTTGCATTGACAGCTTTGCCTCACAGGAAGGAAAGGTCAGTTGATGTGCCAGGCTCTGTGCCCAAATGAGAAAACCAACTACACTGCGATGAGACAACTCTGACTCAAAGCGGCCCTCCCTGAGGTTTCCAAGGCTGTGAGTCTTTACAGGAGAATGCCTTCTTTCTCGCAAGATGCAGCTGGTGGACTGAGGTTTTGATCAGCTGCCTCTGTGCTGACACATTATGCACTGTGCCGACCCACCTCAAGTTGGCAGCAGTTGCTTAGCACCTAGAGCTGTGGGAGTCTAAGCTGAGGCTGCTTCCACAAGGCCCTAGGGCTTAGCTTTACTTTATCTTATCCATGACTTTTTCACACAAGTGTGTTTTTTGTTTTTTTTTTTTTTTTAACACAAGTGTGTTTTTAAACTATCAAGCAGTTGGGTTTTCGTTCATTAATTGTTGTTCATTATCCTTCCTCCCCTCCCCTTCCTTTCCCTTACTCTTCCCTCAATTCACTTAAAAATAAAATTCATCTTTGCAAAATTTCTTCCTTCCTCTCTTCCCCTTCCCCTAGTCCACTTTGCAATGCACTCTAACTCTAGACTGTTGTCATACATATAATGCTAAATCATATATTCCTTTTAAACAATTCTTTCCCTCATCTGTTCCAATGCAATGCTCATTATTTATCCACTCTTTTCCTAGTTTCCTGCCAAACCCGCATGTCAGTCCTGCTTTATAATAGTGGTGTTATATGCAGTATTTGTCCTTTTGTGACTGAGATATTTCACTCAGCATAATGTCCTCCAGGGTCACCCATGTTGTTTAATGTTTTTTGAGTTCATTGTTTTTCAGTGCTGCACAGTATTCTATTCTTTGAATGTACCATAGTTTTCTACCCATTCGGTTATTGATTTGTGCTTGGGTTGCTTCCATCTCTTTGCTATTGTGAATAACACAGCAATAAACATGGGTGTGTGCATACATCTCTTTGGGTGGTGGCTCTTGTTTCTTTAGGGTAAATTCCTGGTAGGGAAATTGCTGGGTCAATAATTTCCTACTTTTTGAGAATGCGTTATAGTGGTTGCATCATTTTACACTCCCATCAACAGGGAATTAAGGGCTCCAGTCTCTCCACAACCTCGCCAGCATTTGTCGTTTGCCCCTTTGTTGAACTTTACAATTATTGCTGGAGTGAGATAATACCTCATAGTTGTTTTGATTTGCATCTCTCTGATAGGTAGGGATTTTGAACATTCTTCATTTGTTTGTTTGCCATCTGAGTGTCTTCTTTGGTGAAATGGCTATTCATATCCTGTGCCCATATTGCAATAGAGTTGTTTACCTTTTTCTTGTTGAGGTGCTGGAGCATTCGATAAATTTTAGGTATGAGTCCCCTATCAGATGTCATTGCCAAATATTTTTCCCATTCTGTCAGTTTTCTTTTCATTCTTACAGTGGTATTTGTAAACACTCTTATTGTTGTTATGTGCCGTTGAGCTGTCTGCAACTCATAGTGACCCTATCTACAACAGCTCTGAAGCCTGCCCTCTCCTGAGCAAGTTTTACTGACTCCAACACACCTACCCCCATTACCCTAGTTACAGTATCAGTCCATCTTCTCCAGGATCTTCCTCTCCTGCACTGTCCCTCCACCTTTCCAAGCATGATGTCCTTCTCTAAGGATCAGTCCCTTCTGGCCAAGTATCTAAAGTATGTGAAACAGAGCTTCAAAATCCTAGCCTCCAAGAAGAAATTTGGTTTCACATTCTCTAAGACAGGGTTATTTATTTTCTTGGTGGTTCATGCTATGTTTAAGACTTCTCCAGCACCACAACTGAAAGGCATCAGTTCTTCTGTCATGCTTAGTCATTGTCCAGCTCTCTGATGCATAGCAAGTAAAGCCTTGAACAAGCGCACCTTAGTCGCTAGACTGACATCGTTGCTTCTCAGTACTCAGATTTACCTAATGTAGTTTGGTTTTTGATTTCCTAACTGCTGGTGCCAAGAGTGTTGATTGTGTAGCTGAACAAACTGTAACTGTTAACAACCACAGTCTCTTCTCCATCCATCATGGTGCTGCCAATTATCTCAGTGGTGAGAATCTTTGTCTTCTTGATAGTCCTTAACCTTCTGCAACAAGCGCTTCAGGTCCACCTCAGTTTAAGCAAGCAGGGTTGTGTCATCTGCATAACATAGGTGGTTGTTGAGTCTTCCTCCCATCCTGATCCTGTATTCCTCCTCATAAAGCCCAGCCTCCAGAATAAACTGTTCTGCATATAAATTGGAAAGGACACATCCCTGAGGCACTCCCTGATTTTGAACCATGCAGTGTTTCCTTTCTCTGTTCTGAGGACTGTTTCCTGGACCAAGTACTGGTTTCACAGGAGCACAATCAGGTGTTCTTGGATTCCCATTCTCCTCAGTGTTAAACACAATTTGTTGTGATCCACACAGTCAAATGCCTTTGCATAGTCAATGGAATATAGGTACATAGCCCTCTGGTACTCTTTTCTGTCTGCCAAGATCCATTGTCACAAGGTTTTTATTAAAAAATAATGCTTAATGGAACTTGTGATTGTTGATAACATATTAAATGAAAAGCCATTTCTCTGATAGCCTGTGATGGTTTGCAGGTAAGAGGTGGGTGCACTCATCCCCCCTGAGGCTCATTTGGGCATGTGATGGAGAGTGGGCTCACCCACCCTGAAGGACAGTGTCCTCACTAAGGCTCCCTCTCCCTCAGCATGGAGCTCATAACCCAGTGTTAGTGAAGAAAGGGGTAATTTCTGTTCCATCTCCCCAACTGAAGTTTACAAACAAACCTACGTGAATGCTGGAATCCTGAATTATAAGCCATTTAATTATTTCACCTTCACTTCTGTATTGAGACATAGAGTACATATAGAAAAATTTTACTTGCTTTTGTGAATACTTGTATGTACATGTTGTTGCATACATTAAGATTTTTTTTTTTTTTTTCACAACACTGTGGAACAAAGGTGCATTGCAAAGTGGACTGAGGGAAGAAGGGAGAGGAAGGAAAAGGTACAACAATGAATGTAGAAGAGGAATTTTTTTTTAAAATGCAATTTTTTTTCCTCCATATTTTTCCAGTGTTTTGAAATGAGTAAAAATTATTCTTTCAGAGCAGGACAAGCCCTTCAGCTAGGTCTTTAGGCCAGCAGTGTTTCCAGGAGCCATAAGCTGGTAACCATCTATATAAGCTGCAGTGTGGGATGAGAATCATAATCTTCCGACTCTCACTGTCTTGTGCAGAGAAACAGTAAATACAAGAATTAATGGTGCCATTGTAACATAAGGCAGATCCTAGAAGGTTAAAGATTTGACAAAATTTCACAAATTCGTGTTCATTTTGAGCCTGCTCATTTTTCCAGCTTGTTGTACATTTAGCCCTTGTTGGCCTCTATTAATGATCTTTCATCCACATATGTAGGGCTTCAGAACTATAGTTTGAAAGTCTGATTTTGGTCAGTCCCTGAGTGTGGCAAGAACATCCCATGTGAGTCCCTCCAGGGTCTTAGAAGCCCAATTCTGTTTGTTGAGGGCTGAGACTGTCTGGTGCCTGATTGGTAATACTGATTGGATGGAAAATAGTAGATCAGAGCTGCCTTTTTGTGGAATGACTTTATTATAGGATGGTACAAGAATGAGTAAGACACTGGCCCCTTTCCTGAACAGATAAGAAACTTTTCAGTTGGAAAGTTAAGAATAATATAAATGGTGTGCAGTGGACTTTGCAGAAAAGGAGAGGAAGGACAGTGGAGGAGGGGACTGAATGGCAAGGAAAGGCAAGTAAGTGGCTGGACTTAGGGCACAGAGGTGTGACACTGCAGGCATTGGTGAATGATACCGTGTCAGGGAGAGATACACACATACGTGAAGATGTAGTAAGTGAGAATAATACATATTCATTTTAACTCTGAGATAGAAATTTTGGACAATGTTCAGTGGTGATTAATATTATAAAACAATGTATGGCATTGATTGTATGAAACAAAATGTGAATGAAGGAAAATATGAAACAATTTGTATGCAAACCAATGTACAATTTTTTTAAAGCGCTCTATAATTTTACATGCTTTCTTTTCCTTATGTTAAAGTTACTGTGACATTTAAATTCCCTCATATGTGATAATGAGAATATTGCTGACTAAAATCTGAGTATAAAACCCTATACAATAGCTGCAAAAACCCCCAAAATACTACAAAAGCACTCTATAGCACTTTGCTCGGAAACCTAGAGGGTCAGTGAGAGGGAGAGGAAGACCTTGCAGCAGTGGGCTCAGCAAGGCAGAGATTGTGAGGATGGCGCAGGGCCGGGCAAGGCTCAGAGCTGCTGTTCAGAAGGTCCCTAGGAGTCGTTCTCAACAGCAGTGTGGTACTTTAAAAAAAATAAAAAGCTGCACAGTATTTTTCTTTTAAAGCAAGGAAGGGATTTGAAGAATAGTTAGCCCTGTTTCCTATGTTGAATCTGGTTCAGCAGGACTTCTAGCTCCTGCATGCATATCATGCTCACTTGCTACATTATTTGAGTAATTCTTCTCTTTTTCTTTCTGTTTTTCTCTTGCTGTTTTGTCTATCTGAAGATCCATTTCATCTTCAAGTTTAAGATCAGAAAGGTCCCTGGATGCTTCCCAAGACCCAGAACAGTCCTTAACAGAATATATTCATCATTTAGAAATGATCCAGCAAAGACTCGGGGGTATTCCACCAGGTAATAAAAACACTTCTCTTATCACTTTTCAGGATATAACAGCTGTACTTGGAAATGTAAAATAATGTAGAAGACTTTGAGTATTCAACTTAATAGTTGGTGGTTTTAAATTGTCCAAGAAGAAAGATTATAAATGACAACGCCTTTAGAAACATGAGAACTAGTCGTGTTAGGGTGGCTTTCTTATGACTAGTCACTAAAAGGAACTTGTCTGGCACGGGACAAAGATGGCAGCCGAGCGACAGGACGCGCTGAGGGAGTTCGTTGCAGTGACGGGCACCGAGGAGGACCAAGCCCGTTTCTATCTCCAGTCGGCCAGCTGGAACCTGCAGATCACACTAGCCAGCTTTTATGAGGATGGAGGGGACGAAGACATTGTGACCATTTCGCAGGCAAATGAACCCCCAGTTCAGTGTCCAGAGGCACAGCCCCCAGTGATAATAGTTACATCCTTCAGAGACCTCATTCATGACCAAGATGAGGAAGAGGAGGAGGGCCAGAGGTTTTATGCTGGGGGCTCAGAAAGAAGTGGACAGCAGATTGTTGGACCTCCCAGGAAGAAAAGTCCCAACGAGCTGGTGGATGATCTCTTTAAAGGTGCCAAGGAGCATGGAGCTGGAGCTGTAGAGCGAATGATCAAGAGTCGCAGAGAGAGCAGTAAACTCAGACCATTTGCAGGGGTGGCTGCCGCCTTGGGGCAGCACCAGAGGAAGACGCCGCATACGTGGCAGGAGAGAGGCGGTGGCGTTAAAGCCAAGATGTTCATGTGGTGTTGAAGCTCTGGAAGAGTGGATTCAGCCTGGACAATGGCGAGCTCAGAAGCTACCAAGACCCATACAACGCCCAGTTTCTGGAGTCTGTCCGCAGGAGCGAGGGGAGGTTAGCTCACGGCAGACAGGTGAACTTGGACATGGAGGACCATGAGGATGAGGACTTCGTGAAGCCCAAGGGAGCCTTCAAGCCTTCACTGGCGAGGGGCAGAAACTGGGCAGCACTGCCACCAGGTGTTGAATACCAGCTCTCTAGCCCAACAGGCAGAAAACGAAGCCAAAGCTAGCTCTTCCATCGCAATCAACGAGTCAGAGCCCACCACAGACATCCAGATACGGCTCGCTGATGGCGGGAGGCTGGTGCAGAAGTTCAACCACAGCCACAGGGTCAGCGACATCCGGCTCTTCATTGTGGATGCCCGGCCAGCCATGGCTACCACCAGCTTTGTCCTCATGACTACCTTCCCGAACAAAGAGCTGGCTGATGAGAACCAGACGCTGGAGGAAGCCAACCTGCTCAATGCTGTCGTCATGCAGCAGTTAACATGATGCCCGCCGGCTGCTCCCCCTGTGCCCCCACCTCGGCCAGGCCCGGGGTTGCCCCTCCTGCCGCTGCACACCTAGCGGTCCAGCGCACGTCTCCCTCCGTAGCCCTGGGCTCAGCTGGACATTAGTTTTCTCCTTAGTTTCATTTTCTGGCGTTTTGTGTGTGATAATCAGTAGTCTTTAACAAGAAAAGGAATAAAAATGACAAAAAAAAAAAAAAGAAACTTGTCCTTCCTCTTCCACAGCAGAGAATAGGAAGCTGATGCTTCAGCCAGCATGTCAGTCTTGTGTTTCTTCACATAGATAATTTGGATCATTATATGTCTTAATTATTTTTCATGGTTTACCAAAAGTAAAATTAATATAACAATAGCAGTAGTAGTGTTTTTAAATTGTGAAATTATATTTAAAAGATATGTGAACCTTTCTAACTCTTAATTCATTTTTATTTCTGTCTAGATTCCACTTCCAAAAAATCCTGCCATCAGAAGAGTAAATAATCATTAAAATCGCTATGGATCATACCTGTGGTAATTCTATTTGAGGAAAAGTTTGTTTCCCCTGTAGAAAGCATGTGGCGTGCCATGGGATACATGTTCATGATGTTAGCCCTTCAGTCCATTAATCAGGTGTTCAGACCTTTATGCTGCAAAACCAAATGGAGCATTTCTGATGCAGTGCCAGTATGTTTTGATCTTTGCCTTCATGAGGTAATGTACTCAGATGAGAGACAGCAGGTGTGTGTGCTGTCACGTACATGTCAGCAGAACCACACCTGCCTGCCTTCAAGAAGTGTCAGCCAAAGATGGCTTCTTGTTGTTTATTTTCCTAAACTGTATAGTTGGAAACTGTTTTAAACAGAAAAATAGGGGCAAGGGGTAAAATTAAAGCATTGTTTTATTTCTGAGTGATTTGGTTTTTATTTTATCTACTTTTTTGTCATTGACAAAAAATAAAACAATTTATGTTAAACTACTGAAAAAATTTTCCTATGGAACACAAAATACTCTTTACTTAGTAAAGACAATTAGCCATTTGCCAATTTTTTACTTAATTGGACTGTAATTTTATTTGTGAAAGATGCCACCATACCTTTTTTGCCACCACACTTCTTATAACTTCTTGATCATTTTATGTTTTACTCAGTCACATATACAATGCAGTAATAGCTAGCTAAACTCAAGTACCCTTTACCTAAAATTCTAATGTTGTTGTTGTTGTTGTTATGTGCCGTCGAGTCGCCTATGACTCATAGCGACCCTATGTACAACAGCCCTAAACTCCGCTCTGTCCTGTGCCAATCGCACTGTCTCTGACACTCCCATCCCAATTATCCCAGTCACTGAATCAATCCACCTCATAGAGGGCCTTCCTCTCCTGCGCCGTCCCTCCACCCTCCCAAGCATGATGTCCCTCTCTAAGGACCGGTCTCTCATCACAACATGTCCAAAGTAAGTTAGAGGGAGCCTCAGAATCCTTGCCTCCAAGGAGCCACCCGGTTTAACCCTCTCCAGGACAAATCTGTTTGTTTTCCTAGCAGTCCATGGTATTCTCAATACTCTTCTCCAGCACCACAGCTCAAAGGCATCAATTCTCCTTCTATCCTCCTTGGTCATTGTCCAACTCTCTGATGCATAACAGGTGATTGTGAAGACCATGGCCTGTATCAGACGCACCTTAGTCTCCAGAGAGACACCACTGCTCTTCAGCACTTTGGAGAGGTCCCTCACAGCAGACTTTCCCATGGCAATGCGCCTTTTAATTTCCTGGCTGCTGGTGCCAAGACTGTTGACTATGGAGCCAAGCAAACGAAAGCTGTGTACAATCTCAAGGTATATTTATAAATAAATCATTTTTTTTAATAGGACCTGTTACCATAGTATTTATTCTGTTGGACTTAGATGTTCGTATAAGTGGTTAGAGCGCGGTTGTGGGGGGTTTTCTTTAAGATGATATCTCATAGTTGGAGAGCGGGGTTTTTTTAGATACATTTTAATATCATTACATACTTTCTATAGGGAGCTCTGGTGGCGTAATGGCAAAAAGCTGCACTTGAGTCCTAAAGGCACAAGGTTCAAGGCCCCCAGCTGCTCCGCTGGTGAAGGATGAGAAGTTTCCTCCCATGTGATGAACTGCCTCTGAAAACCCACTGGAGGGTCAGCTGTTGGTCAATTCCAACTCTGTAGTCCACAACAACAACATTTTTGTAAATTTTCTTTCAGCTTTCCACACTGACATATGCCTGCATCTTGAGTATTAGCCAGTACAACTAAATAAGTTCACTTGTTTCACACACTTGCATCTTTTCCGTCATTCCTTTCTGCTACACTATTTGTCCTTCTGTTTTGAGTTGCTGAAACAAAAACCTCAGTCAGTCCTAAGAACAAGAACTCAAAAAATGTTTAGCCAATTAAGCATCCAAAAGAATAATAACTGAAACTGTCAGTGAAATACTCTACACAGGTTTGACTAAAAAACTAGCTTGGCAAAGAAATAAGAGTTATGACACAAACAGATACATGCGTACTCATGGTCATTGCAGCGTTGTTTACAGCAGCAAACATGAAAACAGCCCAAGGGCATATCAACATACAAATTAATAAAGGCACTATGGTACATTGACACAGGGGAGTACTGTAACATGAAAAAGATAAATTGATGAAACAGTGCACGACATGGTTGCATCCAGAGGCCATTATTCTCAGTGCAGTCAGTCAGTCACAAAAGTAGCCATATTGTATAAGACCACCCTTACCAAAACCCAAGGAAGGTTTACACATAATTAGAATTATTCTTAGATGATTACCAAGGTTGAGAAGAGAGGGGAAGGGGAGTAAAAATTAGTAGGAAGTGGGCACACGAAAATGTGTAAAAGGACAAGCAATATCCAGTAAGGGGATGAGCAGCATAATATCACCAACAAAAGGGAAGACAGAGTCACAGACGGAAAATGGAGATGACAATTAGGGAAAATGTGGACATTGAAGAAGAATAATATGGTGGAAATTTAAATCAGTGCTGTAGAACAAAATATGAATGAATGGTTGGAAGAAATAGTAACTTGTTTTGTAACATTTATTCAAATCATAGTGAATGAAATAAAAAGCAGTGTGGACGAGAGCAAAGGGGAAACTCACTGAAAACCACCAGTGCGCACCACACCAGCTGTTTACTCAGGGAATTGATGTTTAAAGTGTTCTCCTTGCCTTTTTACTGATGAACTGCAAGTCATCCCTTGTTGATGAGGGGAAATTCTTCTTTATAGAGAAATGTCAGCCAGTTATAAGAAACCATTTTTACAACTTTCACTGAGATAATTCAGGTTAAGGCTAATCAAGTGCTAAAACTAAGGCAAAATTCACTTTTACAATGGAGAAATCTAGTAGGCACACCTTAATCAGGTGCTTGAACTATGAGAAGATGGAAAACTGCCAAGTAATTGACTCATGGTTATCCTCTCTGGTGCCCTCAGAGAGAAAGACAGGCCTCAGTGGGCTTTGAGAATATAGGTTTTTGTTTTTTGGTGTTTTTTTTTAAAAGAGGGAACAGCTGCAGCTGGCCAGGCTACTTGTGTAGTGTGTTTCTGGGTCTTGTATTGCCTGCATTAGCTCAGTGTTGGCCTCTTGGTCTAAATTGTCTCACTGGAAGGCACTTTGATTCAGCACATCATTTGAAAACGAGAAAGAAGCCAGGAGAATGGAAGTCTGTGACTCAGAGCAAGCTTAGTAATTTAGTTCAAGTTTACGAGTTTTTCTTCCTGTTCACTGAAGAAACCATACAAAGTTAGAAGGTGAGAGAAGGGAGGGTCTCTCGCCTCTAGTTTGCTGAGTGAAGAGGCAACTGAAGCCATCAGTAAAGGATTTCATTATACTGGAGGTACCCCCAAACTATCCCCCAGGCTCAGTGGAACAGGGCCTCCAGCAGGATAAGGAAATCTCATTGAACCGTTCTTCCAGACTTAAAAAAGGACACTGTTCCCTTTAAAAATGTTATTTTCTGACTGCTTTCTTTCCACTATTCCAATAGAATATTCAGGAGGTAAGGGATATCTCCTTGTGTAGTACCTGTCCCAGATGTCCTCACAAAGGGTTCTTGTATCACTTTTCTCTCTCAATACTAACTAGTAAAAGTTTAGTCTCTTTTCAGCTGGCAGGGATGGCAGAATACTTTCACTATATTAGGGTCATCTTACATTCCCTAGAAATCATAGTGTAAGTCCACTACCTTAAGAGAAAACAGATTTCAAATGTCAGCTCGAAAACACAGTTTTGTAACAAAATATGCAAACATTTGGAGTTAGAAAACCAAAAGGGAAGAATGTGCTTGGCTTTTCTTAAGCTAAAAGAACAAATTCAAGCCTCAGGTTACAATAGTGAAAGACTGTATGAGCAAAGCAGAAGAGCAAAGGCTACCACCTGCAGTATGGATTGCAATTCAACATAGAACAGAAACCCTCACAACTGGGCCAATAAGCAACATCATGATGAATGGGAAAAAGACTGGCATTTTATTTTACTTGAATCTGTGATCAACACTCATGTAAGCAGCAGTCAAGAAAATAAATTGGTTTTTGTTGGGCAAATCTGCAGATGACCTCTTCCAGTGTTAAAAAGCAAAGATGTTTCGGCATAGTATTTTGTTGTTGTTGTGTACCATTGAATCAGATCCAACTGACACAGGAGGAGATTGTCCCTCAATTTCCAACAGGATCTGGTGCATTTGAACCACACACATTCCGGATTGCAGCACAACTTCTTGCCAGTAGGCCAGCAGAGCTCCCTAGAAGTCATAGTATTTTCAATGGCCTCATAAAGCATTGTAAAATGAAACAATGAGTAAAGAAGACTGAAGAATTGATGTCTTTGAATTAAGTTGTTGAAGGATATTGAGCATACCATGCGCAGCAAGAATATCTGTCTAGAAGAGGAATGCTCCCTAGAAGTGATAATGGGGGAAATTTGTCTCATGTACTTTAGACATATTATCAAGAGGGATCAGTCCCTGGTGAAGTAGTCAGAGAAGAGGAAGAAGACCTTTAGTGGGATGGATTAACACAATGACTGCAAAAGTGGGCTCCAACTGTGGCTACTGGCAGTCTGGCTCAATACCAGGCAGTGGGCCATCCCTTCGAACAGGACTGGTACGAGTTTGCATTGACCCAGTAGCACTGAAGAACAAGTTACCAACAGAGTACTCTTTGTGTCGTCTTCATCATAGTGTCATTTCTTTTGCTCCTGTATCCTTTGTATAGGCAGTTTTCTTGGCATTTGTATTCCTAAACTTGATTTTAAGTAAAATTTGTACATAAGTTCCAACAGTTAATGTATATTTAATTTTAGTCATTCAAAAGTTTGTGCCAAGTATACAGTGTATCTCTCTAGCCATAAACAAACTAAAGAAATGCTTTGATACATTGTAACATCTCTAATAGAATGCATTAATAATGTTTAGAAACATATTGCAAAGTAGCACCCATGTTATTGCAAACCACT